ATTTTTTAAAAAAAATAAAAATGAAGGTGTAATTACATTATTATAATTAATTTTATTAATTTATTAATTTATTTATTATTATTTTTATAAAAGTAATAATTTTAATAATAAAAAGTAAAAATATTTTAAAAAATACACTTATTTGTTTTTAAACATGTCCTTATGAGTCATTTAATGTTAAAAAACAACCGCTAACTATTGTATAGTCAAATAGTTATATTTATCGAATCCGTTATTTATCATCCGCTACCCACTTTTTGCTATCCGCCATCTGTTATCCGTTAACCGCCACCCACTACCCGCTACCGCTATTCGCTATCTGCTTCCTACTATCCACTATCTGATGAATTTTAACCACTGTACCAAACATGCCCTTAGATTGATGTATAAATGAAAATTTTTAAAATAAAAAATTTTAATTGTGAAACCCAATCGCATCTAACACAATTTAGCTATGGATTTAATACAAATATATAACTATTTATAGCAGTGCTACTACAAATAGATGTTGCCCGTGTCATAACTCAAATTTTAATAAAATTTTATTTTTATTTTTATTTTAACTAATATGTTTTTTCTTTGATTTCCATGTTAGATTCATGAGCGAAAAAAAGGGATTTTGCGAAGAGGATTGGAAAAAAAGGAGATGAAGGAAATTAAGATGAGGGACTCAATTGAAGAGATGGAAAGTTGAATGGGTAAAACGCATTAAAGTTAAAAACCCACAATTTACCCAAACCCATGATTACTCAAAACCCAAAGCCCATCAACTACCCAAAACCAAACCCAAAAAAAAAAAGAGAGGGTTTCTGGAATCTTCTTAAAAGTTGACCCTCGGCCCCCTTGCTCCAGCGTCCCCTGCTCTGTGCCGCCTTGCTCTGCACTCTGCCCTCTACGCCCCTGGCCTTTGCGCGCCTGATCCTGCACTCTACGCCCCCCGCCAGCCATCACCGGCAATCATGCACGCCTACGCCCCCCCTTTGCACTCCTGCGCCCCTACTTCCTGCACTCCTACGCCCCCCTCGCACACCTCCTGCACCAAGCCCGCCTCCCCTCTTCTGCAACCTTCTTTGCCCTGCTGCGCCTCCTGCACTCTGCGCCCCCAATCCTGTGCCTCTGCACTCTTGCTTGCTATAGCCCTGTCCTTGCCTCACCTACAGAAAAAACAGCGAATACCAGACAAAATCGCCATCATCTTCGTCTTCTGCTTTTGCTACAGAGATCAGTGATTGACGGAAGAAGTTTTTATTTTATTTTTTGGGTATATATATAGAAAAATTCAGATCAAGGAAATGGGGGGTCCTTTGTTGATTTTGGGTCTGGTTTTGGGAGTCTCCTTCTGAGTTTTCGAAGAACAGTAGAAGGGGATTTCATAGGGAAGAAAGGGGGCAACAACGGTGGTTGAGAGGAAGGACTGCACAAGCATTTTGAAGGGGACTAGAGTCTTCTTCTGCTCTCGGCCTTCCTTCTTTCCTTCTGGTTTTTATTTCGGTTATTTTTCCTTTTGGATATTCTGCAAAGTTCTAAAAAAAAAGGGAAAGGATTTCTGTTTTGGGGCAACGGTTGAAAGAAGGATCGTTGAGTTTCCAGTGAAAGCACATTTTCTGGGTTGATTCCTCTTAGGTAAATTTTCTTATCAGAGAAAGTTTTGGGAAGAGTAGTGAGGGAGACGGTTGGAGTTTGATCCCGTGGGTGGGATTCCTCCCTCCTATCTCGATCTGTTCTTTTCAAAAACTTTCGCTATGTTTGTCTCAATTTCGTTAGATTTCATGTGCTAGAATTGTATTAGATGATGACATTATGAATAAAATCAATCAAGCATGCTTAGTTGAATTTCATGGATTTGAGTTGGGATGAATGTTTATTTGTTTTCTTTTTGTCTGTGTTGATGAATGGTAGAATAGAAACCGTAAATTTCCTTTTGTTTCCATCCAGATTTCAATTGTCTAAGTTTTGGTCTATTTTCG